ATGGGATTTTCTACAAGATATCCATGGAGGTAGTTGAAAGTGAAAATTCTCAATAAAAATGGCTTACCTTATTCCATACGTGTGTTGTTTGCTCCTGGAATGGTTATTTTATCGATTTAACTTGATTTAAGCGCCTTTTTTGAATTCCGAAGAGAAAACCAGAATTCAAAAAAGTCGGTACACACTCGGCTATTGCCTCGTGTGCCACTTTTTTGTTCTTACCACATTTTTACGTCATCTGTGATCTATTACTGAACAGACGCACGGCAACATGGAATCTATTTGTTAATTAGTACACGCTATGGCGTTTACCATTTGTTAATTTTTCCCATGAACACCAGTACCACGTTTGCGTGGTGAAAGAGGGTGCGGGTAGTGTTGTGATTTGACTATTGAGATAAAGAAAACAGAGCCGTTCATTTTACAAGTTGATTCTAAGAATAGTACAAAAACAAACTTTCAAGTTGCGTACAACCCCGGGCCCTAAAAGAATTCGACTAATTTTTGAAAATCTCATACTTACCAGTGCACCCTGCTCCATATCGCGAAAAAAAGATAGAACAATTCCATACGAACGGTATTGATAATAACCACTGTGGAAGATGTATCCGTACCTAAATGAAGTGTGCGGGAGACTTGCCCGCAATGTGACGTTAATTACAATCACAAGGCCTGCTCGTGCTCAGTCAGAACAGGGCGGAAAAAAGCCACATATAAGCGCCCTGGTCAGAGCTGCCGTCCGCGCTTCTGATGTGATATACAAACAGAACGGGCGTGGCTCGGAAGTAATTGAAGTTTCTGTTCTCTCTCCTTTAAATTTTCTTAGTTAATTCGTGAGAGTATCCCTAGTATGGTGCTTAGGCGCTTTTGGATGTCTCCATCCCTTATTGCTTATTTTTAATTTAGTTGATGTATTTGTTGCGGAGATAAGTGTAGTTTATAAATAAATAACTTATAAAGGTTGGGTTGCAGACTCTAGTGAAAGTGAAGAGTGACGGCTACAATAACTACAAAATTTTCTGATAAATTATCGTTCTAACGCTTAAAAAAAGTGGTAGAGCTCATTGCTCGATGACCAATGGTCTCATGTTTTCCTCTATCCTCAACAATATGCGTCATGGCTTACGCCCACGATCATCACACCAGGGCACATCATCTGAAGAAACATCTTTTATTGAAACGTTCCTAAACCGCAAGTCAAACAGTGGCACAATAACTTCTTTTAACTTTCAGGCTTTGTCTCTCAAAGAAAGAGGTGAGAGCGAACATCGACGTGAATTAAACATTGAAAACTTTAACTTGGATATATTCTCAGTAACCAAAGTCAGGAAGTCAGTTGAGTATTTCTTTGACAAATGATTCTCAAAAAGGGGTTGAGGAGCTACTGCTACTTTTGAAACTGTATAAGCTCTTTAGAAACACTTGCGGTGCACAATAGCGGGACCAGATTCGTCATATTCCTGTTTAGAGATCCACATTTGTTGGAAGGTGGACAGGGAAGCCAAGATGGAGCCTCCGATCCATACGGAGTACTTACGCTCTGGTGGAGCAATGATCTTGATCTTCATGGTGGACGGTGCCAAGGCTGTGATTTCCTTCTGCATTCTGTCAGCAATACCAGGATACATGGTTGAACCCCCGGACAAGACAGTGTTGGCATAGAGATCCTTACGGATGTCAACATCGCACTTCATGATAGAGTTATAAGTTGTTTCATGAATGCCAGAAGCTTCCATGCCAAGGAAGGATGGTTGGAACATGGCCTCGGGACACCTGAACCTCTCATTCCCAATGGTGATAACTTGACCATCAGGCAGCTCGTAGCTCTTCTCGAGGCTGGAGCTAGAGGCAGCAGTCTGCAGCTCTTGATCGAAGTCCAGTGCCACATAACACAGCTTTTCTTTGATGTCACGGACAATTTCACGCTCTGCAGTGGTAGTGAAAGAGTAGCCACGCTCTGTTAGAATCTTCATAAGGTAATCTGTAAGATCTCTGCCTGCTAGATCCAGACGTAGGATAGCATGGGGCAGGGCGTAACCCTCGTAGATAGGTACGGTGTGGCTCACACCATCACCACTGTCCAGAACAATACCAGTGGTACGACCAGAGGCGTACAGGGACAACACAGCCTGGATAGCTACGTACATGGCGGGACAGTTGAACGTCTCGAACATGATCTGCGCACATAAGAGCAATCATGATAACAATCTGAGTAGATATAAATAGCTCAGTTCATACTGACTTCTTTTTTTTTCAGAACAGCTAAGACTAAACATACTACAGCGCTACACCGTCTCATCTTTTAAATACTTTCCCGATGTTCGTGTTGTTTAACTTGCTAGTTTCCCTGGCCAAGGTATGACCAACCAAACAAAAACTAGTCGATTTGGGTTTGATGTTCTTTAAACTTAAGTTCACAAAATTATCGTCATTGACGATAGTAATATCATTTAATATTCATTTAATCTTTCTTTAGTTCCTAAGTTGTCCCTGGTCTATA